CGAGCCCCGCTTGCACCCACGCTGGGCCGCGACAAATGGCGTCGCGGCTGCTTGCGTCGCTTTTCCCCGCCCCCCAACGCCGGCAGGGCCCGCCCCCCCTCCCGGCCCTACGGCGCAGGCGGGGCCGACTGACGCCTATTGTCAGAGCGGAGGGAGACGCGGTCCCGGAGCTTTTACCGCAGTTTGCCAAATCCCTTGGGGGACTGGGCCGTGAGCAGACAGAAGGCGGAATCCGGGAGGGAGTGGGCGGGGCCCAGGCACCACAATAAAGGCGGGTTCTGATAGCGCCCGCTGCTGGCTGCTTTGTGGCAGACAGGCGTCTCAAGGTTTGAGCTGCGGGCTCATTAACTCAACAGCTCAGTCTTAACTTGGCCCAAAGCGTAATATTTGCATGACACTTGTTATTACTCTATAAATATCTGTGTTTCCTACCTCACTGTAAACCTTATTTGGCAGAGATCACATCTCTTGCTTACTATTACCAGCATTTAGCAGAATGGCACATAGTAAGTGCTCAACACACGGGAAGGGAGGGGAGAAGACAAACTCAGTGTTAGGGGCTGCATTGTATCCTCCCAAAATTCGTATGTTGAATTCATAACCCCCAGTACCTCAGGATGTGACTTTGGAGATAGGGTCTTTACAGAGGTAATTAAATTGAAATGAGATCATTAAGGTGGGCCCTGATCCAATATGACTGGTGTCTTTATAAGTAAGCAGAGATTAGCACACAGCACAGAGGGGAGCATCGCATGAGGAAGAAGGCGGCCATCCTAGAAGCCCAGGAGAGAGACCTCAAAAGAGACTAACACTGCGGACATCTTGATCTCAGATTGGTAGCCTTCAGAACTGTGAGAAAATAAATTTTTGTTGTTTAAGCCACCCAGTCTGTGGTACTTTGTTTATGGTAACTTCAGCAAACTAATACAGCTGACTATGCAGGATGAATAGCTTTATTTTTAAGTAAGCTTATTTTAAATAAATCACCTTTCTGAAAACATTAGCATTTCAACATTTTCTCTCTAAGGAGGTGGACATACCTAAGTGATAGAGAAATAAAGTACAATTGTCAAACAAAGTGGTTCTCTACCAGGGACATTTGCCAGTGTCTGGAGACACTTCTGGTTGTCACATCTGGGGAAGGAAGGCCGTGTTGATGGCATCTCGTGGGCAGAGGCCAGGGGTGCTGCTAAACATCCTACAGTGCACAGTACAGGCCCGTCACCCCTAAACAAAGCATTATCCAGCCCAAAACATTAAGAGTTGAGGATGACAAACCAATGACAGATGCGTATCTTAGAGGAAATGGAAAGATCCGGGTTTCTCTTTCCATCTGCAGTACTTTGCAGTTTACACGATTGAGGATGAAAGGATATCTATAAAATTTATTTAAATTTTACTTCCAGGCCAAATAATTGTGAACTTGGGGCTTTGGAGTTAGAGAGACCTGGTTCAAATTCAGCTCTGCAGCAACTTATTACTATATGATCTTGGACAAGTTACTTTAACCTATTTATAAGGCTCAGTTTTTTTCATCTTTAAATTGGGTGTAGGTATAGAACTTACCATTTTGGGTTGTCGTGGGAATTAAATTGATATAATGCATTCAAGTGTTCAGTAATTGTGCCTAGCACATGGCAAGTAATCAGATTCCAAATATTTGAAGTTTAAATATTTAAAAATCAAAAGTCTCTGTCAATTACCCAATATAAAACACCAAAGGAGAAAAAAAAATCAGGCTTCATTTCTCTGTTACAGGATGGCTCCCAACCATGACTGATCATCAGAATCATTTTGAAGGAGGTGAGTCATGGGGACATCTGGGGGAAATGTGTTCTAGGCAGAGGGAACAGCAAGGACAAAGACCCTGAGTGGGAGAGTGCTTGGCATATTCAAGAAACAGCAAGAAGTGCCATGTGGCTAGAAGGCAGTGAGCTAGGGGAGCTTGGGCAGACGAGATCAGAGAGGTAGGGAGACCAGATCACTTGTTATAATCCTTAGTAGGTTTTGAACAGTTCATTTTTGCTTCTGTGTTAAGAATAGACTGTAGAGGGGCAAGGGAGGAAACAGACACCATGCAGGAGGCTACCCGAAATAAAGCAAAAGACAATGGTGGCTCTGACTAGGGTACAAAGTTTCTTTATGGGATGATGAGAATGTTCTAAAATTAGATTATGATAATAGTCACACAACTCTGTAAATATACTAAAAAACTTTAAATGCGTAAACTTTATGGTATGTAAATTATATCTCAATAAAGCTGTTTAAAAAAAAGAAATGGGAAAATGGGTCTGTCCAAGGAAAAAACAAAATAATTGACAAACAATACTGAGAGCTTAGCTGAGACCGGATAACATAAATCTGCAGTGGTATCCTTTTGCATAATTGTATGGTTTCTTCCAACATAGTTACCGCTCAGTGGATGCAGTATAAAGGCAAGGATGTAAGGAAATTCAGGGTGTTTCTGAGATAGAGGTTCAGGTGATCAACCAAGAAGAGAGGCCTCAGAAGAACACAACCTGGCCAGCACCTTCATCTTGGACTTTTAGACTCCAGGACAGTGAGAAAATAAGTTTCAGTTTTTGTGGGTTTTTTTTTTTTTTGCGGTACGCGGGCCCCTCACTGTTGTGGCCTCTCCCGTTGCGGAGCACAGGCTCTGGACGCGCAGGCTCAGTGGCCATGGCTCACGGGCCCAGCCGCTCCACTGCATGTGGGATCTTCCCAGACCGGGGCACGAACCCGTGTCCCCTGCATCGGCAGGCGGACTCTCAACCACTGCGCCACCAGGGAAGCCCTAAGTTTCTGTTTTTTAAGCCACCCAGTCTGTGATATTTTGCTGTGGCAGTCCTAACAGACTAATGCACCATCATAATATAAAACTACTAAAAATGTCAACTGTGAAGAAAAGGGCTAACTGCAGGCCTACAACCCATTCCCGCTCCACCAGGAATCAAGACCTCAATCAAATTTTCATTTTATTTTCGCTGTGCCACGCAGCTTGCGGGGATCTTAGTTCCCTGACCAGGGATCAAAAACGGGTTCCCTGCATTGGAAGCTTGGAGTCCTAACCACTGGACCTCCAGGGAATTCCCCAAATTTCCATTTTAAAAGTGCTAATAATATTTACTAGCGGAAAGAAAATGAAACATTCTTCTCTCTCAAAAGCTTGTAGCAAGGCGCACTTGGTCTATAAGAGATGGCTTATTGTAAAACCTGGAATTTATGAATTTATGAGGCATGGTTGGCTGGAGAATGCGGCTCATCATTTAAATTGTGTAATTAATGAGGTATAAAAAGAGGACGATGCAAAACCAAATGACTCCCTTTGTTTATACAATGTCTCTGAAAACACTGCCCAGAAGGAGACTGTCCTTTAATTTTGAATTCAAAATGCACCGTAATGAGGGAGAAAAAGGGCATTGTGGAGCTAAGCCTGGTAATGTTGGACTTCTCCAAGAAAAGACTGTTTCACCTGTGCCTAGTGATCGCCCTGTATCCTTTAAATCATTAATCAAATTTGGTATTGGCTAAGATCTATGACTGATATGAGTCTGATTTGACAAACTCTTTGGGTTAACCAAGACTTTGCATAGAAAAATTATTTTGCACTTCTTATTAACTCAGAAACATTCCTGTTTTAAGGTCTATCAATCCAATTTGATAAATGTATACTTTAGATAGAATAATTTGATAATATGAAGGATTAACAGTCATATAATTGAAATAATCTCATAAAGGGACATACATGAATTTATTTGAAACTTTATTATATAAATTTTCATTTCTTTTAAAGATTACAAAACCTGTTCTGTGACAGGAATACAAGCAATATTGTTCCAGGATTATTCATGGATACATCTGAAAGAGCTTTGATTACACATTAATAGTATGATTTGAAAACTTCCCAGATTAGACTCTTAAGTAAAACAATTGAAAGTATTCAGTGATATTTAATCCTTTACAAGCATTTCATAATTATGGCAGCAGGGCCAAGCATCTGATGCGATTTAACCACCAATAAAAGGTACAATACATATGAACTCATGATATGGTGCCTTGGGCTTCTGGCATGCCTTACTAGAGTGAAACTAGTATAAAGTAAAATCATATATAATAGTAGAAAAATATTGGTGATTTTTTTCTTTTTTAAAAACCGTTTAAGTAGATACCCATCCCTTTCCCACCCATGGCCAAAAATGCAAAATAATTACATCCCTTAGGTGTATACCTTCCCTTTTGCTTAGGGTAAGAGTTAAGATAAACATAATACAGGTATATAATTTTAAGAGTTGAAAACTCATCACCCATAATCATTAAGGATGCTAAGGAATGGCAATACCTTGAAGCTTTTTTTTAAAATTAAAAAACAAAGCCTTAGATGGTAAACTACACTTAGAGAAACGCAAACCAAAACCTTTATCCTTATGCCCTTGCTTTGTATTTAAGTTCTATTTTAAGTACTTGTTTGAAAAACTCAGTATACAGTTCACTCAGTACTATAGTGATAATAGGAGTAAAGATTTTCACTTCCATTAGATATTGAACTAATCTACTTAGAGAGGACTATTATAGCGACTCTCTTCTCACATACGTTTACATACATTGTACTCAAATGGTATGTGCTCTAAAGAGGTTTTCTTGAGGTTTGCACCTCTGAACTTAGTCTAAATTTTCCTTTCCACTAATCTCTATTCAATGTCATATACTTTGCTAGTTGCTCTGGGAGAAGTCATGGACATTTAAACAGCTTATCATGCACTTCAAGGTTATATGGCAAAATAATGAGGAAAGTGCCTTAAGAGGTAGGAAGTAGGCTCTCATCCCAACCCTTGGTATGCCCTGGTATGAACAGTTAAAAGACTGGAATCAAAGTGGTAAATGTGAGACTGATAGTAATACAAGGCTTAAGAAAATTAAGTCGACTTAGTTACTAGAATTCTTTGAAAACAGTCACATTGGAACCAGTTACAAGTCACTCGATCACACAGAATACAGCAGTGTCAAAAATACATAAAGCGCACTGTAGATACAAATTCTTCTTGGCCATCCATATTTAGTTATTATCATTCTGTAGATTCTTCACTAGAAAAAGTGGTTAAGCGTGGCTCTGCAGAATACCACACTCCCAAGAAAGCGAGTTTCATTCCTTCATTAACTAGTCTCCACCAATGGTCACTTGGGGAGACCAGCAAAATGTAAGCAATCTGGAGGTGAAAAGAGGACTATTTTCATTAATTGAAATAAAAATGCTGAGTTAAGTCAACTTATCTGTGAATTAAATAAGGCTCAAAGTATACATCCAGTTTGTTAGTCACATGGAGTTGGACCTTTCGGAGGGACAAAACTCTAGGACTGGATTGAAACCTCCTGGTTTAAGCACCAAGGTCAGCCATGGAACCCATCATATTTGTTCGTCACAGAAAGCAGACCTTTTCTGACCATTTACATTCCTGAGATATCTGTCCTAATGCCTTCATAAATCTCAAATGCTGGATACCACCATAAGAGAGAATTCTCAATAGTAAAGAAGCCTGAAAAATTTTAGCTCATTTATAAAGGCCAGGAAGTAGAGAAAATCAAAGCCATGTTGAAATGTGTATTGCTGACTTTCATGGTGATGCACATCTATACCAAGCCCCCAAATCTTGAACGCTTTTCTGCTCTCACCTGAGGCTGGACGTACCCCAGCCTCTTTCTTACCCAACCCATGCTGCCCATTCATGAAACCTTTCCTGGGCTGAGGGTACAGGGCACAGCTAACAGGCTAGCCCCACCTCCCATCATGTCCCCTGGTCCCAACAGCAACCATTTCTTAAAAATAGTTGGGAAATGGTTGGCCCAAACCTGCTCTTTGCAGCCCACTGTGTGTGAAATGTAGAATCTCTACAGCATACACACCACACCCTCTCCAGATACTCACTAAGTGACTTTTCCCACACGTCAGTCTCCAGCCTCAGAGCATCTTGATTCTGTGCCCTGTCAAAATTATTATATTTTTGGACTTTTGGGGTTGCTTGTGAATAAATGAATCCATATCATATCTGTTAAAGTGAAGGGTCTATTGTACTTAGAAAGAAGACATATCTATAAATTAGGAGCTGAAATGACTTACTTATACGACAGGTTAAAAGGACAAAAAACTTACCTTAATTTAGCATCATCACTTGAAAGGGAAGATAGAAAACACATGGTAGTGTAATCCATATTTTCCAGTATGTGCTTGGTAATGTTAAGTCTACCATTCTGGATATTATTTTGGATTATAAGCTAAGAGGAGGTTTGTAAAAGTGGCCTGATAGTTTAGTTCCTTCTTTCATATTGAAATATCTTTCAGATTGAAATAAAACCTCCTGGGAGAAGCCCTGGTAACCAGCAGCACTAACTGGGAAAGGGCCTCACTACCACAACTATAGGGGCCAGGAGGAACTGGACTTGGAGAAATTAATGGAAAGGTTATCCCAGCACAAGCATTACATTTAGAGCACATTATTGGCCAGGTTTGTCTGCTCTGTCAAAGGCAATAGGAACACCAGAATCACAGATGAAATAAATTATACTCATGAACTGCTTTTTAGGCAGAAAGCCTTCAGTTTTGTGAACATATAACTTGCTTTTCTCCAATAAAACTGGCAGCTGTACTAGGCAAAGAAGGCATTCATATACCAGTAGAGGACTGCCCCAGGAAATATATAGTTTTTGAACATCTCAGTTTGTGGTCGAGTGATAATACGAGGGGAAGGCAGCACGGTGTTATGAGGGAAAAAAAACTGAAAGGGAAGTTAAGGATTCTAGTCTTTGCTTTGGGTCTCAGGTTCTTTACCTGCAATATGAGAAAGTTGGACTAGATAATTTAAAAGCATTTACACATTTACTTCTGGTTCTAAAAGACGATGATGGGCAATACACCTAAGCACTTATGGAATAGTGTTAGTGTTAAAAATCTGAAAATGTTATCTTTTTTCTGCCTAGAGTTACGTTAACATTTTAAAAGTGACAAGAATTTGGGATGACCATGGTTGGGAACACTTAATAGAGGAGAAAGAAAAAAAAAGCTTTCTTTCCAGGCATTGGAAAGCAGTTGTTAATAGTTAGCATCCATATACTCAAGAATATTTAAAAACTTTCTCCATCTAGATCTTCTGAAATCCCTCCTCCTATACATTTTTTATTTAGAAGATAAACTTATATTTGCTTTCTATGCAATAATCATTTTGT